AGCCCTCCCCGTCACAACTCGACCCGGAGCTCCCTCGCCGCCCCGCGTGCATCTTCCCCATCTTGCCCCGGCACTTGCACCCGACCACGCAGCACACCATCACCAACATCGCGCCCCCGATCCCGAAAAACAGCAGCCTCGTCTTCATGCCCTCCTTCCCGTCCCCCTTCCTCTCCGCAAAGCACTCCACCGGCCACTCACAAACGCCGCCCTTCCCCCCATCTATCGCGTAAAACTCCATCCCGTGTCTCACCCCCCTTGCCTCGTACGTCAAGCTCCCCTCCGCCCTCTGCACCACTCTCGCCCCCATGCTCGCCCCCGCCGCCTCCACCGTCCCGCCCGCCGCCGCCTCGAACCGCACGCGCACCAGCTCCAGCGTCTTGTCCCACTGCCCGGTGCCCCACCGCAGCACGTTCCGCGTCGCGTCCACGCTCTGCCCGTTGAGGCACGCCCTGCTGAACCGCATCGCCGCGTTCGACACCTTGTACTCCAGTCTGAATGTCGTCGCGCTCCCCTTGCGCCGCGTCTCCAGGTACACCCGGAGCACGCCTTCGCGCTCGCTCGTGCGCACGCGGAGCCCCGTCCCGTCCCGCGTCCCGCTCACGCTGGACACGTCCTGCACCCCGCCCACGCGCGGGATGTCGCGGAACGCATCGGCCCCCGTCGTGTGCGGGAACACGAACTCCTCGGACACCGTCGCCGCACACCCCGCCGACCGCCGCATCGTTACGGACACCGAGCATAGGAACGTCGCAGACTGCTTCTGCTCCTGCGCAGACGTGCGCCGGCAGAATGATACCTGCGCTGACGCGCAGGGGGCGAGCACCAGTAGGACGGAGAGCAGCAGGGGGACGCACATCGTGCGCGTGGATGTGCGAGGCGTAAACCGCCGGGCGCAGCGCGGGGTGGAGCGCGCTTTTATGTGCTGGCGAGCCGCGGCGAGGCAGGGCGCGGCCGCTCATGAGCGGGGGTGCGGGACGCGGAGGTGGCCTCGCAGCCGGGAAGTAGAAGCCTTGCTTCATTGTGAATAGGTGTGTTTGGGACAAGTAATATGTCGTGCCCGATGCTTGCGCATGCAAATAGAAAACAATCCCCCAGAGGGAGCTGGACAGCTCAGTGGGAACGCGGCTCTAGGGTCGAGGCGGATTAAGTCAGGAGTCGTCGTCCGCCATTGTCCGCTCGTTCTTGGTGGGCGCGGTTAGAGCTGGATAGGAGGGCGTTAGGGACACGACATTTTACAGGGGTGGCAATGATTTTAGGGCTTCACTTGTAGCGCACCAACTTAAAAGCAGGCTTCTATGCCGCTTCTTCCTTCTCTTCGTTAATGGCTCCGTTTGTTAATTGTTTCATGTGAAGCATAAGTGGACATGAGACCATAAGTGGACATGAGACCGTGATCAGGCGGAGTGGATTGCGTTTTCCATATTCTTTTGGAGTCATAACACCTTGAGAGGTGCCCTAATATAATGTCTACGTAGTTACAGGTACAAGAGGGTATGCGCGAGCGTAGAAATGAAATTTGGCATCAACGACCTTCAAGACTTGCATGTATGTAAAGTGCTGTGGGCATACCGTACTGTAGGCTGGAAAGACCGACTCAGGACAAGCATAGCAAGCAGCTTCAGTTGCACGTATCGGTTGCTTACATAGGTTTTTTGAAGGGTTGGTCATCGTTTCGGTCTCCATAGTTTTATCTTGTTTTCAGTGTAGTTTGATGCGTTGCTGCAGCTTGCTGCCTAGCGTTGTGAGCAATTACGAGCAGAGCGATGGTGAGTTATGTAAGGAAGGGTTGGTGCATTCATGTACAGTGGTACGAACTGTAACTCCCTCTAGATAGAGATCTGTCGATATGAGATAGCATTCGCAACAATAGTCATTGAATAAAGGATATACAGATAGAGAGAACTCGTGGTAGGTATGAAGCTATACAGTACCGTGGCTTCCTCAATAGTGCACTGAAATTTTGTTGGCGGTGGGGTCACCCTTAAAAGTGCAACCAGGCTTTTTGTGCACTATACAGGAGCAAGCAGAGTAGCAGCACCTATGTAATGAATACATGCAGTGTAAGAATCCATCCAATGGACTGTTTACAGCGCTTAAATGAAGTCACTGGCTAGATTGTGCCTATCATATCTTTTCCGTGCCAGGCAGTTCCCTGGGCACTATACTGTTCCGTTTCTTATAGCGATGTGCACTATGTCGGGGTAGCCACTGTACCGAATCACAGGACCTCCAGAACCTTCACACATAAAAGGTGGTGAGGCACGAGTGATGGCAACAAGTGCTGCCAAGAGATGGTTGAGGTGCTGAGAGTTTTGCGACATCAAAACGCCAATCTTCATTCAAGGCCCAAAAATGTGGTGTTACGTGTGACCAGTACACTGTATGAGCGAGCAATAGAAATCTCCCATTTTCAAGCGAAAAAGTCCGTTGATCTCCGTTACCATTACGGCTTACAGTTGGATAGTACCCAATCGTTTGGGATGACTTTTCGTCACCCTGACGGTTGATCGAGAGAGAACGTTAAGCAATCCATTTGAGGATGGGTTGCCTTCGCAAGTCATGTTCATGTCAGGACGACGTTTGCGGGCCGGCAGTCAGTCAGTCATACAGCAGTTTGTTGGTTGGATGGGGATGGGGGTGACACGATTGTGCGACGCTGGGGCCACCAATTAGCGCTATCGAAATGGCAAACGCCTCTACGAGGACTCTTGTGTTTGAAAACGGAGCAATTACGAACTGATTATCAACTGAAGACGCCGGGACTCCCCTCAGGAACAGGAATTGTAGTGACTAGCGATACAACTAGAGGTTGTATCGTTAGCTCGCAAAATGTATCGTATACTGTACATGCACATAGAACCTGATTCCAGTAAAAGCAAAAACAGGAGGCGCACAGCGAGAGACCGGAACCACAGAAATTTTGAGAGAGGACTCGGACAAGTACGGACTGATAGTGTCAAGGCCCGGTGGGTTGAAGAAACGAAAAAAATTGCAGCCTTCGCTGTGCCTGTAACAGTGTACAGATTGCGTCATGCGACCAGGGGGGCAACCATGCCGGAACACTGACGTGTCCGTGCTGGAGGGCGCTCGAGAGCGAAACGGTCGTTAAACGAGGAGTAGGGGACGAGACGCGGTGGGAGTGAACTGGGGATAGGTAGATTCCCAGAGGTGAGCGATGAAGAATCGGGACGGTTGTTAGTTAGGAGGGGGGGGTGCGAGAAAGACGACAGGGAGATGTGGAGATGTGGCGGCATGTGTCACAAGCGACAGGGCAGCAATGACGCAGGGACAAGGGACAGGGCAGAGATGAGCGACGAGGGGGTTGTCTATGGCGGGTAGAGTGCAGTGGAGAGGAGTGGAGAGGAGTGCAGTGGGCAGGAGGGACAGTTGGCCCCACGAGACGGGTGGCCCCACGAGACGGGGGCGGTTGGGTTTGGGAGCAATCTGGAGATACCGGGCGAGGTACTGCACGTCCAAGTGTGACGTGAAAGCGCGCATGGTTGTCAGCGTGTGTAAATCCCGTACGTCATACCGCATTAAAGCGTGCGGGGGCGAAAGTCGGTGCCAACGCACAAAAAATACTTTTCCCCGGGAGATGTATAATCCGCTCCACACCGCTCTGCCGAGATTGGCTTGCAGATATCTTTCTTCGCTGACTGATCCAGTCGCCCCCGAGCCAATGGAACACCCAGCCCTGTCCGCACCGCCACCACCAGGGTCCCGCCACCACCATGGGCAACCTGCCGCCCCCGGTCCTCCGCGATGAACCGATGCGAGGAACATGCCTCGATCTTTGCACATCTCCAACTGTCGTACCCTTCCACCTACCCAGCTTCGCCCCCACCCGCCCCCCCTCCTAGGACATACCCCACGCTCTCGCGACCTCCGCCCTAAATATCTCAGCACACACACAGACCACCTAAATGAGAGCCTACACCCAAAAAACCCCTCGTCCGTCATCTGGTTGATAGATAATCACGCCTGCACGCCTCACAAAACGCGCACTGGACAGACACCCGAGTATTCCTTAATTCGACCAACCAACCCCGAGGCGTGCTCCCATGCCATTCCGCTGTTTCCACTCCCAACCCTCTCATTACCCTTCGAAGTAGCAAGACCTCGTGCGGCGCGTGCAGCTGACTGCCAACTTTTCCGGCCTTGACCGCTTTATGCCCAAAATATCCAACAGTACACTACAGTCTTGTCCTTGTTTTTCACTTCATTTCGAAGATACTCTTTCCTTGCGCTGGCGTTCAAAACTCGGCGTTTGAGACCACCACCACGGTTGAAGCAAGGACTTCACAACTGGGAGTGCTGGAAGAAGGCCGCACTGTGCTAGGGTAACGGTTTTGCGAGCGCAAGCCAAAAGGGCTCTGATCAATTGATTTACGAAACAACACACTATTACATCTCTCGAATAAAGGCACACACAGACTCCTCGAAATCGGAACTTTCATTCCCCGTGCGCGTGGTCAACTATCACAGCGGCACTCACTCAAAACACAGTCTAAAACATATTGCCGCAACTATTCACACGAAATGCACTCACAAAAAAAACACGACTCACACACGGAAACCGGAGCACGCATACTCTCTTAGCTCCCGAGGACCTCTGAGAGTACGTGTCTCTCGCTACAAAATCTGTCTCCATCAGCCGCAACCCTACTGGAACATCGTCAACAACGTGGCAGTCTCCAAGTCCATACGCGTCACACTATCCGGCGACTGCCGTCCCATAGGTCCCTTAGGCTTTGTCGACGGCCGTGCCTGCGGCGAAGAAACATGATGCGATCGCGACGGCCCCCCTAGTGACCGATGCACCGACACGGATGGGCCTACCGCCCCCCGTGATGCATTGTCGGCCCTGCGTTTGAGCGCCGCGTTAGCAGGCGCCTTGGTCGAATGACGGGCGACTTTGCGTGTTTGTGACGAGCCCGGCGTCTTACTTTGCCTCTTTGCGACGCGCTTGGTGTGTTGCTTCGGCGTAGGCTTTGCTTGTATGGGCTTTACTTGCGTGGGGTGTTGCTTGTGCGGGGAGCGAATCGAGGAGGTGGGTGCGTTGGCGGAGGCGGGGTGGGCAGCACGCTTTGCGGCGAGGGCAGCGGCGGCGGCGTCCATCTTGTTATGCATCTTGGCGTGGCTCTTGAGCGAGCTCTTCCACATGAAGTCCTTGTTGCATCGCGGACAGGAAAAGGGGCGGGTGCCGTCGTGCAGACGCATGTGGGCTTGCTGGTTGTACCGCTTGGAGAAGATGCGTGCGCAGCCGGGGTTTGGGCACATGAAGCCCTCTTGGCGACGGGCCGATTCGGCAGCTTCGGCGGCCTCCACGGCTTCACAAAGACGGTCGAGACCGGACGTCATGACAACAAGGAGGGGGGGTGGGGAACGGGGAGAGGGGGGGCGGGCTGGGTGGTTGGGAGGGGTGGATGAGGGATTGTGGATGAGGGGTTGTGGATGAGGGGTTGCACTGGAGGCCAGTAAGGACGGGGGAGTGGGGGGAGGGTTTGGGTGAGGCGTGGGGTTGGTGGTGGGGGGAGGGGCGCCGGTTGGGTTGTGCACTGTGAGATGGGATGAAGATATAGAACGGAAGAACAATGGAAAAAGAAAACGGAAGGAAGGGGTGAGACGAGGAGCAAGCAGAGAGGGAAATCCGGCTCAGCCTGAGACGAGCTCGCGACGAAACGGAAAGACGCGGGCGTTATTTGTCGTGTTTTTATTGCGCATCCTTTGGGTCTGCCATTGCGAAGCTGTGTGCCGCCGGGCGGGGGGTGGCAGCGATCGCCGGGTGTGTTCAAAGACACGTCGCCGTCGTTTTTATGATAAAAATCCACATGGCCCATGGCATGCAACGCCCCACCTATGCAAATGATTTATAAGCAGTAATTTCATTTCGTACAAATAATAGGGATTTTTTTTTGGTATTACAGTACCAGATCTTTTATTTCACTAGAAATCTCATACTCCGCTGACTTTTCTCCGGTCCACCTGTACTGTTGGAACGCCTCCATGCACTGCCCAGTTTCTCGGGGGAGGGGGAGGGGTTCCGTGGGTTTTCGTTCCAACACGTGCCAAATCTCTGAATGCCTCAAAATTTTAACCAATATTGGTGGGACTTGAGTACCTGCTCCTCTTTTGCTCTGGCGCGCCAATCGCCCGCAGCAGAAAAAGCATTCCATCTTTTCCACGGGGGCGACTGACACATGGCACGTCAGCAAGTGAAAGGCGGCGGCGATTGTCGCCGACAGCCTCTAGCGCGCCTCTCCAGAGCGCGCGCAATGATTGGCCGTACGAGGCGTTTGCCGCCCTGCGTCGCATGCTGCACGCTCGTCTACTTGTACAGCTCCCTCATTTCTTGTCCATCCCCAAGCTCCTCCCCCAACAGAGTCAGGATCTTTTCGGCGCTACAATAGCATAGTAATTTACAGTGTGGAAATATACCACTAGATGCAGGGAAATTATGCCTCACTGCCCTCTGCTGTCCTGCATTGCAAGGGATCGCGCCTCGCACACGCCCAAGGCGTCTGTCCTTTTCGTGCCTTTCACCAATATCGCTCAGAGATGAAATGGGAGGTAAGCTCGGCCAGCCGTCTGGAACAATTCATGTCACATTGGGGCACAAACCTGCTTTGCGTCGTGCCGTATTTTGTCGTACAGGCCTCTAATGCTTTATGTAACTTGGCTCAGTAGCAAGGTGCTATCATGAGATGGAACAGTGACGCGAAACCGCGGCACAAGAGGAATTGGAGGTGGTCCCCAATCATTTCTGTAGCTACCAAGGGTAGTGGCGCGTATTGTGCCATGCGATTTTCCGTGCAAGGCGCAACGATTCCCGACACCCATGCCACACACGCGCCTTAAATCTTTATTGCCTTCCCTGCCTGCAGAAACGATACAGTAATTTCATTTTACACTCACCGGGCAACTCCTCTTTTCCGCATCCCACGTCAACCCCTCCCTTTTAGTCCTTTCCCGTCACCCTTGCACGGCCCAAAACCCCATCTGTGTACAGTACAAGGAATGTGAAGAAAGAATATCGACCGTCACTGTTCACATTTATGCATTGCCCTACCCTCTCACCCCCGTCAAGTACGGGTCAGTCCTTCATTGCCCCTTCGAAACAACTTGTACCACATTTGTTCCGACCAGTCCTCCCTGTCCGTAACTGCAATCTCGCATCAAGATAGCTCTTGGGACTACAGTATCAAACGCCCCATCCCCCTCATATGAGACCATGCCCTTTGCATGACACAGTACAGTACGCGCCAATTTGTGCAGGAACAACCGCTCCCTTCTTCTGACTCATGCTTGCACTGTATGATCTCCCATCTTTATCCAACCTCCACTTGCCAGTTTTTCCCTTTTCCTGACATCCCGATACTCTCACATGGGCAATGTCTCGCCTCTTCTCCCGACAACGTCTATCTCTCCGCCACTCTATGACTCTTGCCTCAAGTAGCTGGAATCGCCCTCATGGAATTTTCGTGCTAGATTCGTGCCCATATGCGAGCAATAATTGTCACCACAATTCTATAGTTCTCACTCCAATCACTTTCATACAGAACGGTACTGTACAGCACAGGCACAGTATATTTCCTGCCTTCCCTCCTCACACTATCAGGCGACACTCCCTTCCAGAGTACCATACCCGATACTATATATGGGTTGTAAACAGCTGTGTCAGATCCCGTTCTCGAGACACGGAGATTTCAGCGTTAAACAAAGCCATAAAATAATCATGCCACCGGCAGTTCTCATGATCACCAGTATTCTGCGCCAGATGCAATGATCCACACCCACTTTTTTGCATATTTTTAGTCCCTGTGCGTACAAAAAAAGTTGCACTACTGTACAATTATAGCAGTGTATCGAAAAAACTTATAAGAGTACACCCGATCACGGAATTTAACATGGTCCAGGTTAATTCTGAAGGCCATTTTGAGAGCGTCTCACACAAAATAACCTGGCCCAGGTTACATGCGAATCCAGGTTAATATATGTCGTTACAAGATATATAGCACGGTCCAGGTTACAAAAGTGTACCCAAATTAAAATGCATGCACTGTCTCTTTTCTCACAGGGAACATTTTCATTTATTCAAAAGGTTCGCCATCAAAATGATTCTTATGCTCCGCAATGATGCTTTGCAGATCGGTAAAGAGCTGCTTCTCTTCCCATATGCCGTTCAGGTTAAGTGACATCTCAGTCCATATCATGGCTTTCCTAGCATACAACAGGCTGTCTCTGTACCTTTGATTATTTACCTCGCGAACCGCAGTTGCAGCCAACTTCAAAGAAAAGTCTTTCCTAGATTCTTGAATTTCCCGCTTGATCCTTGCTCACTGCTCGTCCAGGATCTTACAGTGATCTCTGCAGCCTTTTATTCATCCCACTCTCGTCTTTAAGTATATTTTATCTTAGAAATTATGAAAAGAGTCCGCAGGTTGAACCAAATCCGTGGTGTTAGGTGGCAGCTTTCGTAGCTCAGTGTGTATATTTCGGAGACATTCATCAATATCGGAATTTCCGTTGTGACCCGAGCAACTATCGACAAACAGCGTTCGTTTCTTCCCATTTGGTAAGCGTGAAATCGTTCTTGGTTCTGACATCCACTCCTTGAAAACGTGATTGTGCATCCATCTTTTTGCCGTGATCAGTGTACATAATAACACTGATTTTCGTATCTCGTGAACGTTTTCACTCGCAGTATTCTTGCTCTTTCGCTCACGACTTCGAGGTCTTACAACCCCTCCTATCCCTACACCAGATCCCCGTACTGCATAACAAAGGTTCACTGTGCTCCTCCACGGCAAGCCCCGTAAAATGTGCAAATAGAGCTGACAAGCATACTTACTTACAATTTTCTTGCACTCCCGCACAGTTGCTACAAGTAATTCAAATAAAATGAAAAAAGAGTTGAACGGGCTTTATTGGACGCTAGCTCATCCATTTCTGAGGGATGTCATCCCGTCCGAAGAGTTTGAAAAGTTTGCAGTAGTGAGTTCTAAGTACGTAATCGAGCGATGATGATACAGTACTATTCTGGGCGGTTCGATTATGCAAAGGTGTCAATTCTAAAAACTTTCTCCAGCGCCATCCTGTCAAGCCCACGTAATCTTCCTAGAGTACCACCCCATCTCAAACCTATTTCCATCTCCAGTCAGATTCAATGTTATCATAGACAAAGCCTACGGCAGTTTGAGTAGGTACAGCGCGCTCTATGCGTGCTCAAACTATCCGTCACCGGAATTAGCTTGCCAAGCTAAAAGCGGAGCGTTTGAGGTGAGCATAAGCGCACGATCACTTCCTTCACGGTCATTCTGCAAGAGAAATATTAACTCACACTGACGCTTCCCTCTCAGTCGTTTACTACAAAAAAAGAGCTTTGCCTCATCACGGCAAGTTAGGACTTGAGAAACTACTGGATCCTTTATCCCACTTTCCTTGCCAGTGTCCTATTCTTTCGGAAAGTGAAGAGCGTTTCGTCGTGTCCCAGACGCTGGAAGCGCGAGAAATAACATTTACAGTGAACTGTACTCTAATGAAGAAGGTCCAGAGCAAAATAGCTCAACATTGTCGTAAACCATGATCACGTGGCGTTCCCTTTCCCGACGAAACAAGATCCTCCAGAGCCCATCACAGAGAAATGACATTTCAGCACGACTGATCTGGTGACTCATAGTGGGCTCGCTGCTGAGAATAGTACGGGCATCTCTATCAATGACCGGGGAACGTGGTCTTCCCCCCGATATAGCCCGAAAATCGTTTGTCGAGGCAGGCTTTGGGCCAAACATTTTCAGTTACTGGACCAATTTGAGCCGAACCAGGCCAGTATCAACATCCCTGAAGACGGGATTTTACGATCACCAACTCGAAATGTTTCTTCTTGGCAAACTACGACCATGGAAGAGTCCCGAAATGTGCCTGACAAAACTGGAAGGCTGTTGAATGGCAGTGGCTCACAGCGAAAACATTGGCGGAGATACACGTGCTTCCGAATGACAACCCGAAGTGAGAGTACTGCTGGAAGCAGACGTCACGCCTCTCAAATTTGAAAAAGTGTCGTGGAGAAGCCGCAGGTCATGCGCCTCGACGGCTACCGCCAGCATCTATAAGTACAGTGCAAAAGCATGTCTCAATGGAGAGCGCAGATGACATTTGGAGCTCTAGACACAACATCTGAGAGATTCTTTGAGCTCTGATTATATACTTCACGCCTAATGATAAAGAGGACATTGGTAACCAGTCTAAACGGAATTATTTAGGTCGAGTACCATAAAATCCCTGCACAGGCGTTTGGGATGATATCCCCATGGCATCTTGGGGCAGTGTACCTGAAAATGGAGAATTAGGGGAGAAATGAT